TTCTTTAGAACCTGAATTTGAAAATATCGCTAACAATGAGAGAACATTAAAGGAACTTGTTACACTAGATGTAACATATCAAACTTTATGCATACAATATCCTGACATTGATGCTCCTTTTGTTCTAAAAACTGGACTAATACACTTGTTACCTAGATTTCATGGCCCTGCAGGTGAAGATTCACACAAGCACCTCAAGGAGTTCCACATTGTTTGTTCAACCATGAGGCCACAAAGTGTGCCTGAGGAGCATGTCAAATTAAAGGCTTTCCCGTTCTCTCTGATGGATGCAGCCAAGGATTGGCTCTACGATCTCCCTCCTGGATATATTGCTAGTTGGGACAACTTGAAGAGACTTTTTCTGGACAAATTTTTCCCAGCATCAAGAGCTGCATCCATAAGAAAGGGAATCTGTAGGATAAGGCAGTTTGAAAGAGAAACCCTTTACGAATATTGGGAAAGATTCAAGAGATTATGTGCCAACTGCCCTCACCACCAAATTAGTGATCAATTGTTGATACAATACTTTTATGAGGGACTGCACCCTATGGACCGAAGCATGATAGACGCTGCAAGTGGAGGGGCATTGTTTGACAAGACTCCAGTTGCAGCCCGGAATTTGATTGAGAATATGTCTGCCAACTCACAACAATTTGCAGCAAGGCAAAATTCTTGTGTTACCAGAAATGTGAGTAAAGTTCAAGTTGCTGAGTTTCGCAAGATAGAACACAAGCTTGATGAATTGGCATCCATGGTGAAGCAATTGGCTTCCATGCAAAAGAGTGCTACTGCATCTTCACCTCCTCCACCACCTATTCCAGCCATGTTGTGTGGCATTTGTTCCGCTACAGACCATTACACTGATAACTGTCCTACGCTGCAAGAGTCTAATACTCTAGAAGGTAATCCTCAGGCTTATGCTGCAAATATTTATACTAATAAATTTCCTTTTCTAAATTTGCAACAGCAGCCCAGTTGGGATCTACCTTCCAATAGATATAACTTGGAGGAACCATTCAAATTTAAGATGGGGGAACAATTCTCAACAGCACAACCAGCAATAAGACACTCAATATCAAGCATATCATGTTGGCCCAAATAGATCCCATCCATCCCAACACCCACCGCAACAAGCCCAGCACCATCACCAACCATCTTCTTCACAACCAAGTGCATCTCAGAAAAATTAACCATCACTGGAGGAGCTCATGAAGCAATTGACCATGAACAACATCACTTTCCAGCTAAGAACTGAGGCTAGTATCAAGACTTTAGAGAATCAAATGGGATAACTAGCCTCATCTCTGAACCAGATGCAATCTCAAGGTTCAGGAAACCTCCCTGCACAAATAGTAGCAAACCCAAAGAATGTGAGTGCAATCACTTTGAGGTCTAGAAAAGTGATGAAAGAGCCCACAGTGACCAAAGAGAAAGAAGACCCAAGCTGTGCTCTTGCTACAGTTGGTCAAAATAGAAAGGAAGAGATTCAAGAATAACCAGAACCTATATCTGTCCAACCAAAGGTGGCAGACAATATTGAAACGACATTTCTTCTCCCATTTCCTCAGAGAGTTATCCAGCCAAGCAAAAAGATTGAAGAGGCTGAGAAAGAGATTTTAGAGACCTTCAGGAAGGTAGAGGTGAACATACCTCTACTAGATGCAATCAAGCAAATACCCAAGTACGCCAAGTTCTTGAAAGACCTATGTACCCACAGGAGGCATCTTAAAGGTAATGAGAAGGTAAATATAGGTAGAAATGTTTATGCGCTCTTTGAGAAACAAATGTCCACAATGCTTGAGAAATGTAAGGACCCAGGAACATTCACTATCCCATGCATTATTGGTAATAATAGGATTGAGAATGCCATGTTAGATTTAGGAGCATCTATAAACGTCATGCCATTGTCCATTTTTACTTCACTGTCTCTTGGCCCTCTGCAGCCTACAGGTGTGGTTATTCAATTAGCCAACATAATCATAACAAACCCCGCTTGGATTGTTGAAGATGTACTAGTCAAAGTGAATGATCTCATCTTCCCAGCCAACTTTTACATTTTAGACATGCAAGAGGGGGAATCAATGAAGGGTGCTGCATCAATCATTTTGGGAAGACCGTTCTTGAAGACCGCAAGAACGAAAATTGATGTGCATGTTGGGACGCTCACTATGGAGTTTGGGAACAGTATTGTGCGCCTCAACATTCTGGACGCCATGAAGCATCCGTTGGAAGAACACTCTGTTTTTCAAATTAATTTGTTGGATGATTTAATAGATGACCAATTTTCTGAATTTTTAGAAGAGGATTTTGCTCTTAATTTTTCTGATTTTATAGACAATTTCATTTGTGAATACTGTAATAATTTTTCTGTATGTGATAATTGTATTTCAGACTTTTTGAATATAAATTATGGAACTTCTGGTATTGAGTAAATTAGGAAATCAATAGGGGAAGAATGTGATGTTTTGAATTCAGCAAGTACAAGTGAATCTAACCCCTTTAACTTGAATGTTGCAGAAATTTCTTCTACTGAAAGTGCCAAGTAACTTCCATCTGTGGAGCAATCTCCCACACTAGAGCTGAAAACATTCTCAGAGCATCTGAAATATGCCTATCTAGAGGCAAATGACAAGCTCCTAGTGATAATCTCCATCAAGTTGAATATTGATCAAGAGGAGAAACTCCTAGAAGTGATAAGGAGGCACAAGAAAGCTATAGGCTAGACCTTTGCTGATATTCTTGGAATCAGCCCCTCTCTTTTTATGCACAGAATATTATTGGAGGAGGGTGCTAAGCCAGTGAGGCAGCCTCAGAGGAGGGTGAATCCCATCATTTTAGATGTAGTTAAGAAGGAAGTCACCAAGTTGTTGCAAGCTGAGATTATCTACCCTATATTAGATAGCACGTGGGTCAACCCGGTCCAAGTGGTCACAAAGAAATTTGGACTCACTGTGGTGAAGAATGAAAAAGATGAGTTGATACCCACTAGAGTCCAGAATAGTTGGAGTGTCTGCATAGACTACAAGAGGCTTAACCAAGCGACCCGGAAGGATCACTTCTCATTGCCTTTCATTGATCAGATGCTGGAGAGGTTGGCTGGTAAGTCTCACTATTGTTTTCTTAATGGTTTTTTCGGTTATTTTCAAATTTGCATAGCACCTGAAGACCAGGAAAAAATCACTTTTACATGTCCTTTTGGCACTTTTTCCTATAGGAGAATGCCCTTTGGCTTGTGCAATGCTCTAGGCACATTTCAAAGATGCATGCTTAGTATTTTCTTTGATTTAGTGGAGCATTGCATAGAAGTCTTTATGGACGATTTCACTGTGTATGGCCCATCTTTTTTCTGCATGCTTGGTTAATTTAGAAAAAAATTTGAAAAGATGTATTGATACTAACCTTGTACTAAATTTTGAAAAATGTCATTTCATGGTAGAGCAAGGTGTAGTATTAGGCCATATCATTTCTGAAAAGGGAATTGAAGTAGATCCTGCAAAACTTGATGTTATTGCACAATTGCCTTACCCCTCTTGTGTTCTAGAGGTTTGTGCTTTTCTTGGCCATGCAGGGTTCTACAGGAAATTCATCCAGAATTTCTCCAAGATTGTCATTCCCCTTTCCAAGCTGTTGCAAAAAGAGGCTGAGTTCAATTTTGATGAAAAATGAAAGGAAGCATTTAATATGCTTAAGGAAGCCTTAACCACCACACCCATCATCCAACCCCCAAAATCGACCAAACCATTCGAATTGATGTGTGATGCATCCAATTTTGCAGCGGGGGCTACGTTGACTTAGAGGGTTAGTAAGTTTCCTCACATAATCTATTATGCCTTTAGAACCTTAGATCCTACACAGTGTAATTACACCACAACCGAAAAAGAACTATTGGCCATAGTATTTGCATTGGACAAGTTTAGATCATATCTACTAGGGTCAAAAGTTGTGGTTTTTACTGATCACTCTGCTTTGAATTATTTGTTAAAAAAGACAAATTCTAAACCTAGGCTTATAATGGATGTTCCTACTTCAAGAGTTTGATCTGGAGATCAGGGATGGAAGCATAACTCAAAATTTGGTAGCTGACCACCTGAGCAAGATAGAGGGAGTTCCTAACCATATTCCAATTTTAGATGACTTTCCTGATGAACAACTCTTAGAGTTGTATACTTCACAGGCACCCTGGTACGTTGACATTGTTAATTTTCTTGTTGTAGGAGTTTTTCTAGCAGGTGCACCAAAAGCCAAAAAAGGATAAGATAAGGAGTAATGTCAAACACTATGTTTGGGATGACCCTTATTTATGAAAATTCTAATGTGACCAAGTCATTAGAAGATGTGTTCCTGATAAAGAGATCACATCCATACTACAGTTCTGTCATGCCTCAGTTGTAAGAGGTCATCAAGGACCCTAGAGGATTGCAAGAAAAGTATTGGATGCAGAACTGTATTGGCCTTTCATTTTCAAGGATTCATGGCAAGCATATTCCACCTGTAAAAGATACCAAAGAGCGGGCGAAGTAATTACCTGGAGACAAGAGATGCCCCAGCAACCCATCCTGTACTGTGACATCTTTGATGTCTGGGGTATTGATTTTATGGGACCATTCCCTTCCTCTTTTGATTTTCTTTATATACTTCTTACTGTTGATTATGTCTCAAAATGGGTGGAAGCTAAGACCACCAGGACTAATGATGCTAGAGTTGTTGCAGATTTTGTCCGTAGCAACTTGTTTTGTAGCTTTGGAATCCCTAAAGCCATCATTAGTGATCAAAGAAGTCACTTCTGCAATAGGACTATGGAAGTCTTGTTGAAGAAATATGGAGTTGTGCACAAAGTTTCCACTGCCTATCACCCACAGACAAATGGGCAGGCTGAGCTCTCTAATAAGGAAATCAAGAAAATACTTGAGAAAGTAGTGCAGCCCCATAGAAAAGACTGGAGCCGCAGGCTTAATGATGCCTCGTGGGCACATAGAATTGCGTTTAAGACACCCTTGGGAATGTCACCATACAAGGTAGTCTATGAAAAAGCCTGCCACTTACCAGTTGAGGTGGAACACAAAGCCTACTGGGCAATAAAGACGTGCAACATCCATTATGACTCAACTGGAGAGCAGAGGAAATTGCAACTGCAAGAGTTGGAAGAGCTACATCTTGAGGCATATGAGAACTCTAGAATTTACAAGGAAAAGACTAAACAATACCATGACAAGAAGATTTCAAGCAAAGAGTTCTACGTTGGTCAAAAGGTCCTCTTGTTCAATTCTCGCCTCAAACTCATGCCCAGAAAGCTTAAATTAAGGTGGCTTGGACCCTTCACTGTTACAAAGGTATTTTCCCATGGTGCAATGAAAATCATAAGTGACTCCACTAGCAAAAGCTTTATGGTGAATGGACACCGGTTTAAGCCATTCTCGCAAAATTCAGTTACCTTGGAGGAAGTTGAGGAGATTGAACTGCACTCACCATGCACAAATCTCTCTACAACATATGGCCTGAGTAATTCACTTTATACGTCAAGCTAATGACGTTAAAGAAGCGTTGTGTGAGAGGCAACTCACAATGTTCTTTAGAATTTTAGTTATTTTTCTGCAATAAATGTTGGTCTTACATTTGAGCCTTTCTAATTTTACTTAAACATCACTTTATGCGCTTTGCCTCAACATTTGACACGGTTTTTCTGCATAATTCTCATTTTTGCAGGGTAAAATTGTGATTATAGGGGATAAATGCTGCACAAAGTCAAGGAAGTTTGGATGCAGTGATGAATGATAAGTTTTCATTTCGTTTTGCAAAAAGATTTGTCGTCAACCTTCATCAAAATATGCAAAAAAAGTTTGTAGTATCTAGGGTGCAAGCCTAGGTTGTCTCCAATGACTTTGGTTTGTAACATACATTGAATATGTTGTGAACATTTACTATAAAGTAATTAAAACAAGGGGGTTTTGTGTAATTCCAATTTTAATGTAAAGGCAAGTGATGAAATTAATGAATCCAATCAATGAAATATGCAATCCTTAGTTTGTTCATGCAATTCTATCCTTATCCCTCTCAAGATTCAATACTTTTCCTCTTCCTCTGAATTAGGGTAACTCAAAAAGCAAGAATTAACCTTAAAATCCCATACAAATTAAGCAATTTACATGGGCTCCAATCTCTCATCCCCAAGATAACGCTACCTTAGAAATTAATTTAGGATTAAGCAAACTAAGTTAAGAATTTCATTAAAATGAATTAGGGTTAATTAAGCAATGTCTCCCTCATTCAACCATTAATTCAATTCAAAGAGTTGGGAAATGTAAATTCATGAGAGAAAGGGAATTATATTCACATTCATACCCAGGGATTCAAGAACCCATGAACTCACTAAGGATTACAAGAAAGTTTAGCCCTCTCCATAGGAATGGGTCTTATAAATTCAAGATGGAAACAAAGGGAAATCAACATCATAATGCAAGAATTAAAGGGCAATGAAAGGAAATTGCAAATCAAACCCTAAGATTAGCCTTGGCTCTCACCTAAGGATCCTAAGCTCTGCAAAATGCTCCAAAAGTGGCAAAGGAATCTAAAGAAATGTCAAAAGTCGCGTACCCTAATTTTTCAATTCCTATTTATAATGCAGAAATTTTCGCCCAAAGTGACTACTATGATTTCATAGTGATAACGCGCAACGTTCCATAGTGTTTCACGCACTCCATAGTGGTTACGCGCAAGACCATTGATTTGGGTCTCTCTGGAGTTGTTACTTTGGCTTCATAGTGATAACGCGCAACGCCCCAAAGTGGTTACTCTCGCTCCATAGTGTTTACACGCAGGTCCTGTGTTTTTGGCCTCTCTGGAGTTGTCACTTTGTCATCGGGTGATAACTTTGGCTACTCCAGAGTGTCTACTATGGTTCCATAGTAGCTACGTGCAAGCCTTGTACTTTTTGGCCTTTCTGGAGTTATCATTATGGGTTCATAGTGATCACTCTAGTCTACCTTTTTGGAACTAGCTTGCTGAAGTTATCACTTTCACCTCAAACTTTCTCAAATGCTAAAAAACCATGGAATAAGTCTAGAAACTCTTGCATAATTATTCAAATTATCAAAATTGCAAACTATATCTATGCAAATCAATGTAATTTAACCAAAAATTAAGAAACCTATGATAAATTGACCAAAATGATGTTTTTATGTTATTTACAATTCCTAAGTTTACTTTTTCTATTAAGAACCATCAAAATGACAAGTAAAAATCTAATAAAATGTGGATTCATCATGCAGTAGGATGGTAAATATTTTTCAGGCTTAAGGTAATCACTTTGGTAAGAAAACAAAAGATCATCCTGAAAGTAATCACTTTCCTGAACAAAAGTAATCACTTTCAGCTTTAACCTGCATATTCACTCTCTATGGTGAGCACTCTCACAGTTGATAGTGATTACTTTCATTGCATGTAAGCCCAAGGTGATGTGCATGTTCACTCTTATTTGTCATAGTAAACACGCCCAAGCACTTTAGCACAGCCCCCAGGGTGAAGCCTCTAGAGTGTTCACTCTTCAAAAAGCCATAGCGAACACGTGCAGTGCTCTTTCCTAATTTTGAACTTGGGCGTCTCTAGAGTGTTCACTCTGAAAAAGTAGAGTGAACACGCGCAGCTCTAATATACCAAAATCTTTTGCGCGTGTTCACTATTAATTTTTGAGAGTAAGCACTCTGGTCATATATTCACTCTTACACACCCTCACCCTATTTCTAAGCGTCCTTCACTTCCATTCTCAATCCCCTTGCCTCTCCTCACTCGTAATTGGCTTCTTGCACTAAGGATTCAGTTTGATTACCCCTTTTCCACAATCTGCACATCCAATTCAGGTAATTATGTAACCTTCAATTTTTGGAATTAAGGTTCATTGCTGAAAAATTGGGAATTCTGAATTAGAGACTCCTGGACTAGATTTGGTAATTTACAGTTGTCATTACAAGGATGTTTGTATGATTGAAGGATGATGGGAGCATTTAATTTGATTGTTTTGCTGAAATTGGAAATGTTGAACCCTAGGGTAGCCACCCCCATCTACGAGAGTTCTCACTTTGAATGTTCTGCTGTGCTAGTGCTTAACCTAGGTTCAATTAGGATGTGTAATAATTAATTCATGCTGCATTTCCTAAATTTATAGCCAATTACACAGTTCCTTTGTGTTATTCTAGTTGTTTTGGCAGCAAATATGCCTCATAGTGTTTATTGCCATGAACACAAGTAATCATTTTGTCTGCATCTTCCCCCACCACAGTGTGATATTTTGGGGATTCTTTGTTGTTTTGAATGCGAAAGATTTTATCATTGCTGCACTTTTACTATACACACTCAATCAACAGTGTACACTTCTTTTAATGTTGTGTTGAAAATCTACACTGTGTTGAAATCTGCATTATTATACACTGAACACACATCATTTTTAATGTTGTGCACATTGAGAATGGTCGCTTTCATGTCCCAAATATTCCCTGTCCATATGTGCAAACTCTGCAGCTAGAGTAGTTATTTTGTACTGCATTCCATCTGCTTGAACTCATTATTTTTGTTATCTGTTGCACCAATTCACCCTCTGATAAGCACATTCTTTTGCATTTTCATTCACTACTGTAAATTTCCATATTCCTACACTTATGTTGGATTGCTGCTGCGTAACACCTGACAAACTTAACATCCAAAGTAGTTATTGTCTGTCATTCTTCATATTGAGCATTTAGGTGCCATAATCATCATTTTGCAAATGCATTCACTGTCTGTATCTAAATTTTTTGAAGCCTGAATAGTCACTTTGAACTTTAACCCACATGCTTAGCCTAGTCATTTTTTTAAATTTGTTGCATAACACTTGCTAGGACTAGGTTCCACAGTGATTACTGTGTGCCACAATCATCATTTTGCAATATTCTTTACTGCATATATATAGCATATCTGTCACCACACATGCAATAGTTATTTTGCACACTATTTATTATCAAGTCTACCCTTTTGAACTGCTTTGTTTTAACTTTTATGCATCAATTGTTTGCTGCCCTATATCCAAAGTAGTTACTGTCATTCCCTGTAGTGAATACTTTGGAAGAGCAAAACCTCATAGTGCTCACTCTGATACTCACTTTCACTTTGAATCTAATGCTAGTTGACTTTAAAGCTTGTAACTGTTTCTTTTCACAACCAACTCACTATTCCTTTTCATTCCCTGGCAGGAATATGGTGAATACCCCAAGGAAGAACACCCCTAGACCCAAGAGAGACAGAACTGCTAGAGCTTCTTCATCCAGACCTCTTCCTGCCCATGACCCGAAGTTTAGATCCCTGGCTCATGAAGATTAATTCAGAACCAACATCCTGTGAAGGCAGATAGTATAGGACCACAATTTTGAGATCCAGGAGGGGACATATACTCAATTTCAAGAAGAAATTTAGAGATGGAGCTGGGAGCTGTTTACCACTTGTGCTGGAAATGGGTGGAAAGAGATCACCCAGGAATTCTATGCTAATGCAATGAGGGTTAAAAGAGACCAGCTGCCCCTCAGACACACCATGGTGCGAGGTGTGGAAATTGATTTTTCTCCATCCAACATTCAGCGGACTCTAAACATACCTCTAGTGGAGAGGCGAGCTGGACAGCTTGATTTTTCCACATTCAGCTATTTGGAAGAGAAGGACTACAAGCCCATACTTCAGGTAATCTATAAACTAGGGGAAAGTTGGGAGTTTGACATGCAGCTCATGCCTAAGAATTTGACCACAAAGCACCTCTTTCCACTAGCTAAGGTGTGGAGCATTTTCCTTTTGAGCTCCTTCATACCAGTACGCCAGTCATCTACATTGGCTGTCAAGAGAGATGAACTTATATATGCCATCCTCACTAGCATACCCATTCATGTGGGAGACATTATCAGTAACTTCATCATGGGAATCCTAAGCACCAAGAGGGACTCCCTTGCTTTTCCATCCATCATCACCATGCTCTGCCAGAATGCTGGAGTAGACATAGGTGAATACCAGCAGAGAATCAAAGCAGCCTCTCCCATCTCTACTGCCATGGTGAAGGATCTTTTTAATGCTAAGAAGACTACTAACCGAGGTCTCTCCCTACCTGCTGAATATAGGAAGAGAACCCAGTTGAACCTTAGAGAACAAGTTAAGGAAATAGCACTGAGGCAGGATATGATCCATGCTGGACAGAAATCAATGTTGACCCTCCTAGAAACTATGTCACTTAACATAGGAAAGAAGCTGGGCATGACATCAGACCAAATTTATGACACCCCTACATTCACTGCACATTTCCTCAGAGCAGCAGTTAACCAGGATTTACCTCATTTCAGAGCCACCACCCATGCACCTACAACTGAGAAAGATAGCAGCTCTAGTTCTCAAGAGGAGGAAGAGGATGATGATGACCTTTCATCCTCCAGCTCAGATGAAGATCTCATTTAGCTCCATTTTCCCTTATGTCATTTACATTTCTGCAATTTCTAGTTCATTTCCCTATATTTAGTAACTACTACTTTTCCTGTAATTATCGTACTTTACCGTCTTTAGTACCATCTCTCCCTTTATTTTCCTGCATCACCCCCTTGAACAATATTTGACGCTTTTATATATATTATTTACAATTTAATTTCCATTATTATACTTTGTGCTGAATCCACTATGCGTCTTTGTGCAGAGAATGCCCTCAGTAACATTAAAAGGACCATGAATTTGATCTCTGAGTGTGACTCTGAAAGGGGGTGATCTCTTTGCCTCTG